GCCTGCAGGGGGCGCTGTGGCGCCAGCGCGGCCGCGTCTCCCGCAGCGCCGATGGCGCCGGGCCGGGCGGGGAAATGGCTGCGGGGGGAGCCCGGCGGGGCTGGGACGCCCCAGGGCGCCACACGAAATGCAGCAGCAGCTCCGCAGCCGGAGCAGGAGCCGCGGGGCGCCCTGTCGGGCAGGGTGTGGGGGCACGGTGCAGTGAAACAGCCGAGCAGCGGCAGAGGAACGGCGGGGCTGGGCAGCGGCAGCCCGGCTCCTGAGCACGGCCGGGAGAGGCTCCCTCAGAGGGGAAGGGGCTCGGGGCGGTCCCTGGGGCACCCGAGGAGATGGTGAGGGTCCCTTCCAGAGACATCGGCTGTTAATAAGGTCCCGTTCAGTGGCTGCTCCCACAAGCAGAGCTTCACTCATGGCAGAAGACAGCAGAAGATGGAACCCCACAGTGCAAGTGAATTCTCCCCAGAACGACCGCAGCCTGTCTCCTCTCCAGTGTTAAGAGCCAGAAAATGAGGAGCTGCCCTTTCCCCTTACCCCCAGCCCAAATCTCATGGTATCTCTGCCCTTCCCAAGAGAATGCCCCTGAGCCAGCTGCACTTCTCTCCCTTCTCCTTGGCTATGTCTTTTGTCTCTCTGAAGTACCCGTCCTATTTGTCTCAGCAGCAAATACAAGAAAATTCCCTGAGAGAAAGAAACAAAAGGAAAAATCCTAACCCCCAACACTGTGGGAGTTGATACATGGGACACTTTGCCCATTTTTGCAGGGTTTCACTGTGCAGTCCGTGGCAGCCCCACTGTATCTGTATGTGCTCACACCACAGCAGTGGGTGCCCAGCAGTCCCCAGTTCACAGCATCCTCTGTGCCACCTGCGCAACGGCTCCGAGGAGAAGAAAAAAACAAATTAGTGGGAAAGAACAACATTCAATAGCTGTATTTCTGCTTTCCATTAATGCTTGTTTGTCAAGTAAAATTGCCTTCTCCTGGGGCTTAGAGTCCTGAAATATTATGATATTTAACAGCCTGCCTTTCACAGTTTTCTTCTGCTTCTTAAAACAACTTGGGGCCATTCTGGAGATTGTTCTGTTCCCCCTGCAGCACCATTGCTTTAATGATGTCTTTACAGCCTCAGTGGATGTCCTTGGTACACCCTGCTGATAGAAATTTGTTGCATGACAATGTTTAGACTGATAAAATTGCTTGTGGGGGACAAGAAGTTCAGTGCAAGGGGGTACAATTCATAGAGCTCTGTGTGAGCTGTGTTTGCATTCATACAGTCTGCATACAGAGAAAAATGAACCACTAAGAATAGTTGTGATTCACTTGGCTATTTTGGTTCCCAATTCATTAAGAAAAAGTCACAGGACCATACATCATCTGTGGGATGTGTATTACAGACCAGCATGAAAATCCCTCCATGTTCTGGAGCAGTTTCACCAGCAGTTTCCTCTAACTCTGCTCATGCTGCAGAACATACATAAGCCGTGAATGAGCCCAACTCTTCCCTATGAAACCCTGCTCCATGCTGACCTCCTCCCTGCAGTGAGGAGGTGACACACCCAGCAAACAGCAGTCCCTGCCCAAGTAGCTCAAGGCTTGGGTGCTTCACTGAGGAGCACTGCTGCAGGGGAAGAGGCAGATGTGAGGTTTAGGTTTCCATGTAGAAAAGCTTTTGCATGCACAGAGAAGGTGCAGAGCCAGCTTGACTAATGCAGTGCTGGAAGTTGTGTCTGGAACCTTTACAGAGCAGAGAAATTAAATGCTCAGGTCCTTTCAGTGCCCTTCAGGAGCTACTTACTCATTATATGACTGTCACAGAGGTTTTGCAATACATCACTCAGCACTAACAATCATCAAGCTACTTAACCATGGAAAATTGCTTTAATGTTATCTCAATGTGTTAATGAATGATTCATTAATTAATCCCAATTATTGAACACTGGCCTTGCTTTCCTGCTAGGCTAGAATAACTCCATGCCAAAACCAAGCCAGCTCTGTTTAAGCCAGCTCTGAAATTGGGTGGTCATGAGAATCCCAGTGCCAGTGGTGGCAGCAACCACCACTTAACTTGCTGCAATGATGCTAAGCAAAGGAGAAATCAGGAGGCTGCTCCAAGCTGGAAAGATCTTTGTGATCAGAAGGAGCAGGTCCCTTTACAGATCCAAACCATCACTGCATCTCACCCAGAGAAGACCTTTAGCCTTGAAACTCTTTTGAACTGATCCTTGGCAATCCCAGAAATAAAAGCAGATTTGCAGGCATATCTGGCCATGCTGCTCATGCATGTGCTGATGCCTTGGCCACAGACAGAGGACAACCTGTTTCTGATGCATAACCATTGTGCTTTTTAATTTTCCAGGGCAGTCAGTAAAATCTAGGAAGCTTTTACATCCCTTCTTTCTACAAAGAGTACTAGATTATTGATTCTATGCTAAAACCAACAAGTGCAATCCATTTGGATTGTTTATGATGGGGCTACTAATGTAGTAAATCACTTGATTCAGGAATAAATTCACTATAGTGTCAATCACTTACCTGGCCAGTGAGCCAATGACACCCACCAGGCAATGGTTAAAAACTCCAGGTGTTTTAAGCATAGCAGCCATACAACTGCAAACAGCAGCTGAGGGGTGACTGGTAACACACAGGGAAAAGTTGGGTTGAAAGTTTCCATGTTGAAGACAATGTCCAATGCCTGGAAGCTGAAGCTGTGTGCCTTTAGACTTAAAACAAGCAAGTGTCACTAGACACTTGATTTGTTTATGACCCTGAGAAGGTCAAAACAAGGTAAAATGAAGGGACTGAGATCTCCTGACTGAGCTCAGACTTTTTTTCCTCTGGTATACTGGGAGACTCATGATGCAGAGCCTCCCATAAAAGCTTGATCTCACCACATTGGAGGAAGAAAGCTCAGTGCACCCAGCTCTGCACTGCAGCAGCCTGACTCCCTGGGGAAGCTAAATCTCTGGAAATCACTGAAACTTCAAAAAGTAATGGATGATAACCTTAATCCAGGAGGGACTTCAGCACTGGTTTTAATGGAAGCAGAATTAGATCAACGCCAGCTACTACAGAAGAGCTTCCCCAGTAATTGTTACTGTAATGCAAATCTCTGTGGCACTAACCACCAGTACATTGTTAACCATTGCCATACAAGAATTCATTAAAACAGTAAGGAAGAAGAATCCTTCCCCCCACCACACAGAGCAGTAAATGAGGAGGTGAGAGTTGAAAGGACTCACCTTTGGTCTCTCTGAGCACCACAGCAAACCAGCACAGTCTCAGCTCTATCCCCTGCCTCAGAAAGGAACTGGCCTCTCTCATCAGGGCCAGGCTGGTGAAACACAAGGCACCTTATTAAAAAGGGAAGAATAGCTCCTAGCCAATAACACCTCCCATCCCTTTTTAAATGCCTGGAGGATCAGGTGTGACACTGAAGCAATTCAGATGGGAGGGAAAAATAAAGAAACTCACAACTATAAGGCGGTGAGGATCAGCCAATTATACATTCAGGACTCTGTGTTAATTACAGGCTTTTCAAGAGGAGAGTCAAAGGACTTTGCAGACACAGAAGGAAATGGATTTTAACAAGCAGTGATGAGTCCCAGTGTTGGAGAGGCATGTCCAGTTTATACAGGGGAGACTCCAGCTGAGGCTATGCTACACCAGCAGCCACCCACCACTAACCAAGTGCAAGCCAGGTCAGTCCAATTGATTTTTTGGGGGAGTATTACAATATTGAGATGAATAATGATGTAGGCACTGGTAAGGGATCTTTCCCTACATAATAGTCACAGCTCTTTATTAGAGCCCAAAAGCACCTGGGTCATCTGGTCACTCAGATGCTTTCCCAGTGGCTCAGGGAGGAAGAAATTATTTTTTTCTTAATGACTATGTGTAATGTGGCAGCTTTATGCACTGTAGGCAGAGACTACAGCTGTTTAAGAAGGTCTGATAATAGCTCACAACTGCAGCAGGTTTTTTTCCTAGGCAGAGGGGAGTTCAGAGCAGAGACTGGAACAAGTAACAATTAATTTTCTTGTTGTTTACATATTGCTATGGCCATCTTTCCTGCTTAAGTCAGGGAAGCTCAGAACATGGATATGGATTTGTTTACAAGCATCAAAATGGTTCCTTTAATTGTTACACGCACCTTCTGAAAAAGGCCACATGAAAGTCATTTAAGAATTAAAAAAAAATCTGAGCAATTAAAAAAAAAAAAGACTGAGCAAGCTCTTTTATTTTATCCCCAAATGAGCACTAACTTTGAGGTAATTCTTGCAGTTTATTGCACTAACCAAGAAAACCAGGTCATATAAAATGAAAGAGCCCATATTACCTGTGAAGCAAAAGTGCCTTCTCAGCAGAGACTTGTTCACTCTCTTGTCCCAGACCATTATTTCACTTCCCCAAGATGTGCTCTGTGAGGAATACTACAGGGCCCAGACATCACTTTTGGTGAACTGTACTGCATGGGGCTGTGAGTCAGAAACAAGGACTGCAAGCCTGGAGATGTGAAGAGGTAACATCCCTCTGACCTAAACAGGTATGCAGCATGGAGAGAAGTGCTCCTAAGAAGCACCAGAGGGAAAAAACTGACCAAAAACCACAGGCACAGAAGATGGAATCCCAGAGCCCAGCAACTGCAGCCCACTTGCCAATGCCTCAGCCCAATTTTGCGAGCAGCTTGTTTGTACAGCGACACTTCAGCAACAAATGGACGTGACTTTTGACAGAATAAACCACAGAAACTTGAGCAGGAGTTTCCAAACTCCCTTGGAGCACAAGATGACTGCTCCAAGTAATAAACCTTGGAAAGGCCAAGTGCCAGTGTGATGCTCAGGACATTGCCCCAAGGCTGAGCATGGCTACAGCATCTCCTGTAGCAGCTGGAGTCATACTGGCTGGGTTTTACCATGCTGTTTTCCTTGGGACTCTATGCAGCACATCCAGCTCCACCAGCCAGCATTACAGGTCTTGAGGGGTTTCATGTGACACTTGGGAAATCAGAGCATCAGCACCCACAGGCATGAGCTGGGGCCTGTCTTGAAGTAAAGTCACTTTGTGAAAATGTAATTTTCAATATTTCATTAGGACTTCTCCCATCTGTTAAGCATCATCCCAGGGAGTTTGGTGACACTCTAAATGAAGCTGTGAAGATATGTGTTTGTTTTAGATGTAATTGGACAGCTGTTTTATTATGAGTTAATGAACTATGATGATTAAAAAGAATCCAGTTTTAGCAAACCATGTATTAACAATTACTCTGGACTAAAATCACAGCTAAGCAAGTGCTAGACAACTTTAATGACAATGCTTGAAAGCAGAAGATGAAAGGGAAAACCAGTGAGGTCCTACAGGACAAGAGATGTCTCCAGGCCAGGCTTCCTACAGCAGGCATGGATTCTCTGAGCTGCCCCACAGGAACCACTCCACACCACCACCATCTCCTTTTGCCCAAATCCCCTTTTGGCCCAAAACAGTCATCAGAGTCTGTTCACACTCTTCCATCTTTGCAGACCTACTTCATGCTCATGTGCTCCCTTTCCCCTGGCCACAGCATCCCAAGAAATGCTGGGATTTCCCATCTCCAAGAAGGGAGAGGGGACAGTGATGGCAGCAGGCTCAAAGATTATTGAGACAGAGAGATAACTGACAGGTTTGTAGTTGCAAAACATATTTCAGACTGCTTTTCCCCCTGCTCTGGGTCACTTTGGCCAAGGCAGTTTACCCTGGAGGCCTTGCACAGAATGTGTTGCTCCTTGATGTAGGGCCATGTTATTCCTGACTGAAGAGACTTGAGCACAAACAGCACCATAAAAAACTGATCCTGAGCTGGGGAGTCCTGCATTTGTCCTTTCCACAATTTGCAGTTTAAAAGATATTTTTGTATATGAGCTGGGCCTGGTGGCAAAGACCAGAAGCCACAAAAAGTAGTTTCCATAGGGGGTTCCCAGTTTGGACAGAGCAGTTTTTAAGCAATTCTCTTTGCTCTGAGAATTTCAGTGAAAAAGCTCTTAAGAGTTAAAGGAAGACAGGTCCATATGCCACATGAGCAAATCACTGATCTTCTTATGTTAAAATAAATCTGTTCCAAATCATTGTGACTTCCCGACAGCTGCCTCCTGACCTTTCTCCACTGCAGCCCTCCATTTGGCCTTTTTTCTGCATTCACCCTCAGCAGAGTCTGATGCTTCTTCGCAGCCTGAAAATGATTTGGTGGAAATCATTGCATGCACACAGTTGCCACCACTAAATTTCCCCACGTCTGCACCACCTCCTTTGACACCTCACTGTCCTTTTTGATATTTTGCAGTGATGGAAGTTAATCTGTTTTCTTGTTATACCACATTTTCAGCATTTGCAGCTCTGATTAGCAAGAGAATTACACTGTAAATTGTTTACAGGTGCACTCTGAATTGCAAGTCAAACTGGAGACCCAGCAGTGGGGTGGGATAGGGAGAAGAGTCACAGCTCTTGGTGACCATGGTGGCATCCAGGCCAGGCAGGCAGGACCACAAGAGCCTCATGGCTGACAGATGTCAGGCACAATGAGGTTCCATTGACACTGTATGAGTTATTCCATTATCTTTGGCCCAGGCTCCTGTTGAGACACTGTCATATAGAGCATTACACTGCACAGGTTTATGGCAGCATGGGTCAGGAGCAAAACATTAAACAGCAGGTTGTGCTTTCCAATGCCAGTGTCTCCTCTAGAGAAGGGGTGATACAGACCTTGTGCATACATTGCCCATGTGTATGTATTCTCAAACCTATCTGTCACCCAGTGCTTATTTCCAAAGAACATACATAGACCATACATTAAGTGAACCAGTTCCTTCAGAAACAATACTCACTTCTTTGCTTGTGATGATCATGGCCACACAGCCCAGCACAGTCAGTGCAATCATGACGTAGCAAACCTTAATCCTGGCAATGTTCCTTGCGGTGTCAAGGACCTCAGACCTGTGGAGGACAGAGCAGATTTTCCATTCTGCAGCAGCATGTGTGAAATGGGATCATGGGAAGATGGGTAATGAATGCTCAAGTCTTGCAGCTACTTCCTGTCAATGTACAATGGCATTCAGCCTTCACTTTCTGCAGCCGATTAAAGGAGAACTGAAAAAAATAGCCTGTGCGGAAAAGATTTAGGTTAAAAGTCATCAGTAATAATAGGATTAAAAACTCCTACTCTCCTGTATTATTTTATTCTGTGAGAGAGTGAACACCTGTAAAATGGCAGACATGGGAAAGTCTTTCCACTATAATAATAAAGGACCAACCTTTAGGTGCTGCGGGCAGGCCATGGGGTGCTGTGCAGCACCAGGAGACACTGGGGCCATGCCACAAGAGCCAGGCAATGCCACCCTCAGGGAATTAAAAGCCTATCACAGCACAGCCTCTGCCAGGCAGTTGGCATCAGCCCCACAAGCATCTGCCCATGGTGGGAGGCTGACCAGGTCAGAGCACACAACTGCACCATCCAGGAGTTTTCTTCCCAAGCAGCTGAACAGCCCCATTCATCACTGGAAAATCTCCACCACCTTCCATGAGTAACTCCTGGCATATACCAACGATTCACGTTTGCAAGAAACTGCAGCATGGCAATGAGCCATCCCTAAAATTATATCCAGACATGGATTTACTCACACCTGCAAGGGGAAGGACAGCTGAAGGAGAACCAGGATGTCACAAGTCAGAAGTATTAGGACTCCAAAATTGAGTGACAATCCTTTAAGAAAATATCTCAACAAGGAGGTGAAACCACAGCCCATACAGGAGGAACTCATTGCACAGGTCTGTCACCAAAGTTGTATGTAGCCCCAGCTTCTAATTAAAATTTATGCAGCATTATTAACCACTAATCAATAAAACCTAGAAAAGCCTGTAAAAACCCAGATTGAATGATATCTTATCATGGTGGCTTCTGACTTTCAAAGCCACTTGTCTTGCAAAAGATGCTTCAGCTTAGTTTGAAATTTGTGATAACTAAAATAAGCAAATCCAGTTTACCTCACAGGGAATGACAAAAAGTTACAAGAGTTAAAATTATTTACAGCTAATTTTGGACACCAGCATGGGGGAGGCACTAACCCCCACAAGAGCACAGTTCTGGGTAATGCAGACTGGGGTCTCAATCTGTGTGCTCACTGCCAAAAGAATCATTCTGACAGGTCCACTTACAATACGTGCCTGGGAATGTCCTCCTCCTTTTTCAAGCGTCCTGACCATACTAGCACCTTTCTATCAAAACTTGTAGGCCTTCTCTCATTCCTGAAAGCTTCTTTACCTGTAAGAGATTTTGTAAAAAGCAATGAGCTAAGCTTCAAAAAGGGAAAAGAGCTGTTGGTACAGAGGGAAAAGAATTGAAAGTTTAAAATTACACT